GAGAGAGAACATGCTGTGTTTGTCTCTGTAGGTCTAAGTTACATCACTCAAAGTAATGGTTTCTAGGCCCATCCACTTATAAATTTTATGACTTCACATCTTTTTACAACTGGATAGTATTCTGTAGTGGATATGTACCATAATTTCATTATCCATTTATCTGGTGAAGGGCATTTAGGCTGTTTCCATTTCCTGTCTATTGTGAATAGGAGACAGTGAACATTGCTGAGCAAATGTCTGTGAAATGGCATGTTAGAGCCTTGAGGAATCTGCCACAGGTTATATAAATGGTAGATTTATTCTTAGCTTTTTGGGGATTCTCCGTACTGATTTCCAGAGAGGCTACACCGATTTGCATTCCTACCAACACTGAATAAGGGTTCCTCCTTGTCTACAACCTAATTTGTTGTTATATATTGTTTTTTGATCTTTGTCACTCTGACTGGGGTAAGATGAACTGTCAGAGTTGTTTTGCTTTTCATTCCTATAACTGCTAAGGGTGATGAACATTTTTTTAAATTTTTATTTTAAAAATAATTTTAAATTATTTTTAAAAATAATTTTAAAAAAATTTTAAATTTTTACATTATTTATATTATATTATATTATTTATATATATACAGTTTATTTACTTTGTATCCCAGCTGTAGCCCCCTCTCCCATTCTCTCCCAACCCCACCCTCCCTCCCTCATCTCCTCCATGCCCCACTCTAAGTCCACTGATAGTGGAGGTCTGCCTCCCCTTCCATCTGACCCCAGTTTATCAGGTCTCATCAGGACTGGGTGCAATGTCCTCCTCTGTGGACTATCAAGGCTGTTCCTCCCTCGGGGGTGGGGTGGGAGGAGAAGTCAAAGAGTCAGCAACTGAGTTCATGTCAGACAGTCCCTGTTTCCCTTACTAGGACACCCACTTGGATACTGAGCTGCCATGAGCTACGTCTGAGCAGAGGTTCTAGGTTATATCCATGCATAGCCCTTGGTTGGAGGATCAGTCTCAGAAAAGACCCTTGGGCCCAGATATATTTGGTCCTTGTGGAGCTCCTGTCTTCTCCAGGTCTTAATAATTCCTCCTTCTTTAATATGATTCCCTGCACTCAGCCCAAGGTTTGGTTATGAGTCTCAGCATCTGCTTTGATATACTGCTAGGTAGAGTCTTTCAGAGGCCCTCTATGGTAGGGTCCTGTCCTATTTCTTGTTTTCTCCTATTTCCAATGTCCATCCCATTTGTCTTTCTAAGTTAGGCTTGACAATCTTACCCCATTACCTCCTTCTTGTTTAGCTTCTTTAGGTGTACAGATTTTAGTATGTTTAACCTGTCTTATAAGTCTAGTATTCACTTATAATTGAGTATGTACCATGTGTGTCTTTCTGCTTCTGGGATACCTCACTCAGGATGATCTTTACTCGATCCCACTGGTGATAAACATTTTTGAGACATTTCTTAGCCATTTTTAGATGATTATATGATTTGTCTTTAAGTTCATTTATAAGACTAATTATATTTATTGACTTATATATCTTTAACCAACCCTGCATTTCCAGCCTAAAGCCAGTTTGATCATGGTTGGTGTTCTTCTTGGTATGCTGGTGTTTTATTGGAGATTTTTGTGGCTATGTTCACTGGGGATATCAGTAGGTTGTTTTGTTCATTGTGTCTCTCCCTAGTTTATATATTAGAGAACTAATTGATTCATAGGACAATCTTGGGAGTAATCCCTCTGTTTTGTTTTGTTTTGTTTTGTTTGTTTTTTGAGGAGTTTAAGGATTGGTTGTAGTTCATCCTTGAAGTCTTGTGGAATTCTTATAGTGACATTTTTTAAAAGTTACTTTGTGGGCCAAAGTGAGAACCTTCAACATTTTGACCTAAATATTTTAGAGTTCTGTCAAGATGAAAGCCAAATAGAGTTAAGTTGCAAAATTCAAAGCAGACTGTGAAACTGAATACAGTTCAAGTTTTTCAATTAAAGCACTATAAAGCTAGCATGCAGAAGTCTTCAAAACTAGTCACATGTGTCACTGGTATTTTAAGAAGTCCTTACTCTGTAAAGGCTGAAAAACACTGAGCTGTGACACTGCCTCAGTGAGCACTGGATCCTGCAGTCACTCTTCATTCACACTGGAAAGCTGAACTCTAGGAAGTTCGCTTTGGATACCACATAGAACAGCACTGGGCACCAACTTCAGCTGCCCCCAAGCTTAGGTGTGTTGCCCCGAGGTGCCTTTTCCACCACGTGGAAAGTGGTTGAGCATCTTCATGATCAGCTTCTGATGCCATAATGACCCACCTAAGCTTGGGAAACAGAAGTGTCCAAGAACCCTGTTGCTACACATTATTCTGTACCTTTGGGGAATTCTTGTTTTTAAAGTCTTTTTCATAATGTGGTAGATTTATATATTTATATTTATATATGCTGACAAAGAAAGAGCAACAAAACGTAGACTTACCCACGTGCATTAAAGATAAACTCTGCTCATCAGTTACAGACACAGAAAGACAAAACTGAATATTCTAGATGAGAGCTGCATGGGTTTTTTTTGTTTTTGTTTTTGTTTTTGTTTGGTTTTGTTTTACTTTACATTCATTCAACAGAAGTGAATAAGGCAGGAGCAGTGCGGCAGGTCACAGGGCCACAAACAAGGACTTTGACCCTCACTGCGAGCAGCTAGCAGAGCCACTGAAGGGCTTTGAGCTGAGAGAAGGTGTGTGATGACGGGGTCACAGTAGGCTCTCCCTGACTGACATGTTGAGAAGGAGAATAAGGACTACCTCTGTCTGCAGGGTAGAGAAACAGTGCATTATGCTGTGATAGTAGCTTAGAGTGTCACGGGGAGTAAACATGGCAGGAAGTTTTAAGAATCTGATTTGAAAGTTAAGGCACAAGTTGCAGGTGCAAGAGGTAAAGAGGAGTTGGTGGTGGCACTGAGGTATTTGCTTTGAGTGGCTTCAGGAATGGGGTTGCATTAACAAACGGAAGCTTGTGGAGGGAGAAGCAAGATCTCGGGAGCTCAATTTGGAACACGTCAAGGCCTGGAGTGTCTAGCTATTAGAGCTATGCATTTTCACTAAAGACCAACTAATTTTCATTAACAAAAGTAGTATTCAGGTAGTAATCATTAGAATTGAAGACAGTAAATGAATTTCAAAAATCAGCAAAACAAAAGGCTGTTTAGGAAAAAGAACACAATAAAATCAATAAACCTCAAGCTTGGCTGAGGGGGAAAATATGACAAAAATTTAGTAGGTAAAATGAAAGGACTTCAGACCCTATGGACATTAAGAGGGTATCAAAAGAATATCATAAACCATTCTGTACCCAAACTTGGTAACATACAGGGAATAGACAAATTTCTTAAAAAGCGTAGTCTTCCATAACTCAGTCTATAAGGCCAGTGTTAGTCTAATACTTAAGCCAGAGGACTTCAAAGGAAAAAACTATAAACTAATGTTTTTCATGGATATAGGTGAAAATTTTAAAATGTGAACAAGGGGTAGCTATACTGGGTATGCAGAGCTGATTCAGCTTGCAAACTTTCATTTGTCACATTAGTAAAGAAGAAAAATTGTATAGTTATAGCAGTAGATGAAGAAAAGAAATTCAACATGGACTCCAATACCCATTTGTAGCATTCATACTCAGTATCTTTGAAGGAACTGCAACCTTAAGAGCATCTACACAAACCCGCAGCTAACATGATGCCGAGTGGTAAGAATATCCAAGCCCTTTAATGTCAGCAATAAATCAAGGATCTCCTGTCATCACTTCACCCGCTTTCAGCATTGCATTAGAATTCCTAGCTAATGCAAAAGAACAAAAGGAGAAGCTAAAAGGTACAAATAATAAGAAAAAGAAAAAGAGTTGTTTTGTTCACAGGTGATAGAATTGTTTATACACAGTATCTGAAAGAAAATTCCTGGAACTATTCTGTTTGTTCTATGCCGCTGTGATGCGCTGGCTAGTTTTATGTCAACTTGACGCAAACTAGAGTCATCTGGGAATAGGGAACCTCAACTGTGAAATAACCTGACCAAATTAGTGAAGGAGAAAAAGAAACCAAGAACATAGTGGGAATCCCACCACCCCAGAGGTTGAGATAGGAAGGTTGGGAATCCAGAGCCATCCTCTGCTGTACAGTGAGTCTCATGGACTACATGAGACCCTGTCGCATAAAGAAAAAAATACAGAAAGGGAAAACAGTAAGGAAAAAAGGCAAGAGTTTAAGTAGGGAGAGATGTCAGTAGCAGGCAGCAGACATATTAGAATTGCATCAGAGAGCACCATGCCACCTCTCTGCCCAGTGATGCTGCAACTGACGTCATCAGCCATCTCACAGGGACTACTTCATTGGCAACGCCATAGACATTTTTGGTGTCACAGGGAAGGTTACTCCTGGGATGTGAATGAAGACAAAGTGTTTCTCAATGCCCTAAGATGCACAAGGCCACCCAGCCCCTACAGCCAAGAGTACCAAAGTAGGGACCCTGCACAGACCTGTCATCAGCTCGAATTCTAGACAGGGGCCCGCTGTGCTTCAGTCCCTCCACTCTTTCTTAGCAGTCTGCATTCTGGGCTACATATGTATTAGGTCAGTGGTCAGACCTCACACAAGAAACTAAACTTTAGGGCAGAGAGCTCATGTCCAGAGCAGAGCATCTTCGTTTCACTGTCTTATGCTCAGCAAGGACTGTTGTGCACCCACTGCCAGCACACTCAAGGTTGTGAGTTCAAAGGCTCATGAGTAGCACTGGGCTAGTCCTGTGTCTTAATTGCAGTATTGTTTGCATGAAACAAAGTGATGTGGAACCAAGGGGCATACTGTACAAAGGTCGTGTCCTAGTTCTGATGGTAACCTAGAGCTCCCTGAGATGTCAGCAGTGGGTGAGTGTGGGGAGGGCCCAGATGTTACCCTACAGTGCCTGTGTATCCACAGAATATCTGTGCTGCAGCATCCAGCAGTGGCCATGTCTGTCTAATGCTATTTAATTGCATGTTTTCTTCTAGGGACAAGCAGATCTTTTGAAATATGCTAAGAATGAGACCTTGGAGAATCTGAAGCAAATCCATTATGCAGCTGTTTCGTGTGGACTGAACAAACCCGGCACTGAAAACTCTGAGGCCCAGAAGCAGCGCCGGAGCCTAGAAGTCATCCCTGAAAAAGGCAGTGATGAAAATGAAGACTAGGGGCCCTCCCCAACTGTAGAGTTCCAACCCTAGGACCAGTCACCAACTGCGCTGCACTCACTAATGAGGATGATAACTGGGATTTTAAAGCACAACTGGAATAGCCAATTGCTGTCCGTTACAGCTGTGAATGTATGTAGCAAGCCGAGGGGGAAGGCAAATAAACTCTTTAACAAGAAATTCTATCCCTGGCCCAAACATGCTGTGTTTGTATTTGTATTCGAAACGCCCTGAGGTTCACTGTGAAGAACAGGGCATTTGCTCTAGTTCCAGCGAGACACAGACCGTTCCTACTGAAAACCGTTCGCTCAGGGGGAAATGGACTGGACTGTTAAGTTCGCATTTGCCGGTGAAGGGGTGAAGGCGCACTTCCTGCGTGTGCTCCCCATCATGGGGCGGTAGAGGATTTGGTGGCATGCTTGCTGAGCCATATTTACTAAGCAGCATGTAAGGACCGGAGCTGAGGACAACATGCCGTGGGCTGCCCGGCTGAAGATGCGGTGTCAGCGCGGGCAGCGGAAGGAAGCAGCACCTTGGACATAGTTTTTCATTGTATGGCGTAGTATTCACATTAAAGATATCTTTTATGATCTTTCTCCAATAGCAGTACATGCCTTCAGTGAAACTTTAACTCATTTTAAAGCATTTCCTCTTCCAAGAAGCCAATTACTTGTTAAATGACTGCTAAAAATACGCCACCTAAGTCACTGTGTGGCTTGTAGGATGGTTGTGACAGTTTGAAATGGTGGCTAAGTGCCTGATTGTGATGTAAGCTCAGACCTACACTGTAGACCTGAATTACACCCTTCGTCAAGGGTGTCTGCAGTATGAGCAGGAGTAGAGAGAATGGGGGCAGGTCTCACTTTGCTGTGGGGCCAGGGATGACAAATCTCTGTTCAGTCTGAGAATGTCTTTCTCCTTCACAGTGAGGGGCACCTGCACCGGATAAATTTCTAATCTGATCTTTTCTTTTCAAAACCATGACACTTCAGGGTACTTTTGAGAGTTCAAGAACCCTGCAGTCTAATGCGTCCCACAAACCACGCATTGTTTCGCTGTGGAAGAACAAGGTTCTGAGTACTCAGTGGGCCTTGCTTTCTGGGCAGCAATTTGGGCATGCCCTGGCATGATAGGTGGCCTGCGGCTGAGCTCACAGCCCTTTCTCTTGCGGGCCATGCTCTCAAAGTAGCTGCTCCTAAACCCAGTGCTCTGCTCAGGATCTGTCTGCACTGCCCTTTGGCCAGGTGTGAGTCTTGCTGGGAAACTGTTTCTTCAAAGACAACAGATAAACACCAGTCAGTAGCTAAGGCTCTTAGAAACGACAAGGAGAAAGAAGTGAATGGAAAGAGAGTAGAATAATTTACAGAAGCAGTAAGTGACGGGTACCGTTGGTGGTTCTAAACTCTGCAAATAGCCACAGTCAATTTGAAGTTAAAAAATCTAGAAATCATCTGTCATGTGACTTAAAGCACAGTCAAATAAGAATATAGCTGTATCTGGAATAATGGCGGTTATCATGCAATATGCAAGTCAAATGTCTGTAATTGTAAGGCTCCTGTAATTTGTTGTGGCTTACGCAGGTCTAGAGTCAGTGATCTTAGAACTGGAGTGGAAGGTGGGCATGGACCTGGGACCCTAGCACTCCAGAGATGGAGGCAGGCTACACTGGGGAACAGAAACCCGAGGGAGCTGCTGTTACTCACTCTCACACGTTCCTTTCCAGATGTGGGAGCTGTGGGTGCCGAAGTCTCCACCCTCACTAGGGCCATGTTGGTGCTAATTAGCTAAGCTCCTTTGCTCTCTTTAATATGCCAAGTGGTAGAGGAGAGCAGGCAGTGTCAGGATGTCTTCCCAAGGCACGCAGTATCTCCTGTTCGTCTAGTTCCTGCCCCAAGGAATAGGCCACCCGCCGCTGAGGACAGTGCCAGTCAGCAGAGCCGGAATCAGAATCAGGTTCTTCCTCATTCAAATGGAAACAAAAGACGTTTGTCAAACTAGACAGAGTCAAGGCTTATTTACAGGCCTCTGGGGAAAGGTCTCGCTGGCTCACTGTGTCTGAAACCTGTGGAGGCCTATACTCACCCCACTAACAAACCAAAATGTGATTCTGCTTGATGGTTTGAGAAACTGTGGGGACACTCAGAGTGGTGTGCAGGTTGGCTTCCCTCATCATCAGTCCATTCATGGGGACAGCTTGTGACTTACCTTATATATAAAGCCCCATGGGCTTGACTCTTACATGTATTGACTGAATTGTATATGTATAAGCACATGTACACACACACACACACACACACACACACACACACGAGTTTTACTCTTTATTGTGGGGGCAGTGTAATCCAAGACAGCACAGGAACAACAGGCAATAGGTAAATCTTCGCTGAGGACCCAGGAAAATGAAGCGCTGGACCAAAATGCACAGAGGGTGACAGATCCCTGCTCAGTCCCATGGGAACAAAAAGTCACATTGTATGTGTGAATGAAGGCAGGGTAAGGGCTATGTCCTGCCCACAGAGCAAATCCAGGGGCATCTGTGAACATGCTAAGTACCTGCTGCCAACCCCCCACACTGAGTAAACTGATCCTCCAACTAAGTTTATCCTGTGGAAATACGGCAAGTCCATCTATTTTTATTTTTATGTTTTTGAGACCTATCAAGCTTCCCTCTGCTACCTCAGGGCAGTGTGACCCAGGAGCCTGACTTTAGGGGAGGGGTACATTCTTCTTAGGCTGGGTGTTTAAGGTAGCATGAGCAGGAGGTCCTTGTCACCCACATGGAGTTGGGCCCCCCACAAGAGGGAAAGTCACCCGGCTTGCTTAGACTCAGAGTGTTTTTACTATACTCACAGCACAGCCCTGCTGCAGCCATGCAGAGAGGATGCCATCGCGGACAGGCAAATCTGCAGTTCTCAGTGGCTGCCTCTGAAGTCAGCATGAGCATGAACGGGCTTTAATCAGTCGTCTGGAAGTACTTTCTGTTGTTTGCTTTGTGAAGAAGGAGCTGTGGGTTGAGGCTGTGAGCCAAGGGATGTGTTGAGGGTACTTTGCTTATACTATTTTGTGGTGGCATAGATCCTAAGTGTCTTCCAAAGGCCTTTGTCTTTCAGGCTCAGTGCCCAGTTTGGACCATGGGGAGGTCTTAAAGAATTGACAAGTTCTTGAAAGAGATGCTGGAATGCTGACCCCTCCTCTTCCTCTCCCTTTGCCTCCCGATTACCAATAAGTGAGCCATTTCCTGTGATACATGCTTTATGCAGTGATGTGCCTACCTTCCCACAGTCCCAAAAGGTGGCTAGAGCTGATACCTTCAGACAAAAGCACCTTCCCTTGGAGAGAGGTCAGAGGATAGGGATGGGTTGGGTAACTAGAAGGAACTTGCATGTGTGAAGTGCCAGCCTGGGGAGTGTGGCCTGCTGAGGAGCACCAGGGAGGACCACGAGATGAGGAGGAAGGTGAAGGCTGTGGTGAGGTGATGACTTATGAGCCTCCCCAGAGGCTCAGCTCTTCTTCAGGGTAGCCCTGAGCTTTATATATTTAGTCCATTATTTTATTTCTTTCATGTAATTATAAACAAATGCTCATTAAAAAAAAAAAGTTCCATTCTGGAAATACAAATTTAAAAGTACATATGAGCCAGAGGAGTGGCTCAGCTGTTGTGGGGCCTGTGTGAGTTCAGTCCTATGACCCACGTGGTAAAGTGGAGATCCAGCTCCTGCAGTTGTCCACTGACTTACCCACGCATTCCATGGCACATGCACACACCAAATGAATGTGAAAATAGTGAGTGTGTGCTTTCACCCCGCCCATCTCCCATTCCCCACAGGAAATAGTACCCCCAGTTCATTCATGGAGATGCTCAGTTGCCACCAAAAACTGGCTCCTTTCTCTTGTGAAGTTCTGGCTTTAGTCAGTCATCCAGAGAAGCTAGTGTCCACTAAGACCAGGACCACCAAGCACATGAGGACCAAAGCTGTGACTGAAACTGAAAACAGGAATTCCATCTTAAGTACAGCTACAGAGGTGGAGAGGAGGTGGGGGCTAAATTGTGTTTAAATGTGACTGTTAGGACTTACAGGAACGGGTAGTAACAGAAGGTCTCTTTAGATGACTGTACTCTCCAAAAATATTATCCAAACATGAAAAACCGAAGGCTTTTTCATATGGACAAAAGCTAAAGGAGTTGATGGCATTATGACATGGACAGTTCCAAGGGCAGAAATGGATCTGCACAAGGAATGAGTGGAACCAAAAGTAGTAGCCACACAACAAAGCTATTTTAAAATTACCATTATTACCTTAATCTTTTTAACAGAGCACTGGCTGTTTTAGAAGAATGCCTTGTGGGTGTCTAGAATGTACAGCGTGACAACATGGCGTCCTAAGAGAAGAAATGGGGGTGTCTGCACCATGCCAGCAGCATGGAGTCTGTCTTAGGCAGTGTGCTATTGCTGTGAAAAGACTCCATGACCGCAACAACTCTTATAAAGGAACACATTTATTAGGACTGGCTTACAGTTTCCAAGGCTTAGTCCCTTATCATCATAGTGGGTGTTGCTTGTTTGTTGACCTACCTTCTGGTACTCAGATGGGAGCGTGTCCAGGAAGCTCACATCTCCAAGAAAACAAATTTGAGTCACTGCACCAAGTGTTGTTTGTTGCAGCTGGGCTGCCTCCTTGATAGGGTGGGAAGGTGTCCTGAAAACCCACAGTTCTCGGGGCTGGGAAGGTAGCCCAGCTCTGAGGTGGAATAGTGCCCCAAGGGTATCCTGAGTCACAGGAGTCCAGGAATGTCACAGCTCTGGGGTGGGACAGTGTCCCAAGGGTATACTGAGGCACAGGAGCCTAGGAATCACACAGCTCTGAGAAGGCCTCCTCAACAGAGATGTCGCAGCTCCCAAGGAAGGCTTGCCGCAACCCTGATGAGCTGCAGAGCTTTGCAGCCTGAGCTCCGCTCCGTCTTCATTTCTTCATTCTTTTCTTCTTCTGATGGGAGCGTCACAACAGGCAGTAAATCTCTTAAAAGTTCTATTGAGGGACACTTCCAGAGGTCTGGGGGGAGGAGCTGGGCTGCTGGAGAGTCCTCAGGCAGGGGTCTGGCCACTTTTTTTTTTTCTTTGCATCGAGAGGTTATAAAGTATACAGAGTCCAAAATTTACAAAGAGTCCACTGTGAAGGCAGTAGGCCAAAGCAGGAAAGTTTGCAGTCATGGACAGCTCCCACAGTGACAGCGGTAGGCATTCTGGGACAGGAAAGGTGTTGGTTCTCATAGCAGTAGGCTGAGGCAGGAATAGTCACCATGGACAGCTCTCGCTGAGCCGCTGACAGGAGCCACCATTTTGTCTCTTGCCTCCACAGGCCCAGGGTGGGAAGGAAGGGCTGACTGCCCTGATGCAGGAAGGGGGACTGGCAGCCACTTGAAATTGAGTGGCCTGCTTCTCAAGGGCTGGACATAGCTTTGGGGGGAGGGAAGGTTTCCAGTGGGCTGCCACAGCTTGGGGAGAGGTCACCACAGCCAGGGGCCATGTCACGTCACTGCCCCAGGCCCCACCGCATTGGTGGTGGCCGCTTTGATCTGGTGGTGACTGCTGCCATGGCTTT